ACAACATTTATTTGAAGTATCGTTGCACTCAAAAACCGACATCATTGAGCATAGATAGGCAAAATTTAAAACCAAAATGGCCGGTCGCTCGTGCGTGGTAGCGTGTGTGCGTGGCTCCACCCTACTCATTTAGTCACAACTAACGTCATCAGGGCACTATGTTTATATTTCTATAGCATCCTTTCTCTCCCATTTAACATCCTTGAAATAACTTTCCTGTCTCAGGGAACCCCTGATAATAATTACTATATCTACAACTCAATGTAAATTAATGTGATGGCCATAGAGAAGAATGTTCTGTACATCTGTAGTCATTTGGGGGAAAAAAAAAAGTTGGGCTTTAACACCCACATGCCACACATGTCACTGGACAGCCAATGTTTCTATGCTGAGAGCATGCTTACTGCGCGCTCCCAGCATGAAGACGTAGCTGTGAAAGACAGCTCTTGGTCCCCGCTAATGGTCAGTAGCTGGTGGGACCGGCTCTTGATTATTATGTGAGTACTGTGACAGCCAGTCACAGTGGTCAGGTGATTGATTGATCTATACTGCCCCAGGCGTTCAGAACTTTTAAAGGGATGCTGGGTTGGGCGAGAAAGAACTAAGGTTACAGGTTGACTATTGTTTACATACAAGTCATTTTGGCACAGAAAAATCAAATCACGTTCTTCTATACAGACAACATTGAATGTTATGACCGCCTTCTCAAAAAGCTAGTTGGCTGGCTGTAACCAGCCTTCAGCATTTTGGGAGTCACTGACCTGGAACAATTATGCAGCAGGTGAAGTCAGATGGGAGGCAAAAGTAATTACCATACTTGTTATCCTGGGTCAGTGAGTGAGAAAATATGAAAACCAGGGTATCAGCATTTCACAATGAGACAACCTAAATTTCCAACTGGAAGTTTCACAGGTGTGTTCCCAGCCCCCCTGTAATAACTATTCACTTTAATCCAGCTAATGCATTGGACGTAAGGATGTGATATCATGACTCTTTCATAAGTTCTGAATTGGCATTTGATCTTGTTTTGTTCCACCAATATGCACAAATTACCTATAAAGTGAATCTGCTAAATTGTTACTTTCCAGCAGATACTTTAATATAGGCTTACTGTTAATCGTATTTGGGTATGTTCTTACTGCCGTTATTACATTCAGTGTATTAATATCCTTCTCATCCCTTCAGAAAATGGCTTTTAAAGCACTTAGCCCCCCCCCATCCCTGGACATTGCTTAATCAAATGCACTCCTCATATTCCAGACGCATATTATGATTTTCTATAAGCTTTCCCTTAACCATCCAAACATCCAAATTTTTTTTTGTGTGTGTGTGTATATATATATATATATATGTATATATGGGCAGCACAGTGGCTAAATGGTTAGCACTTCCGCCTGGCAGTTCTAGGGTCATTGGATCAAATCCCAACCACGGCACCACCTGCCTGGAGTTTGCATGTTCTCCCTGTGCCTGCGTGGGTTTACTCCGGGTACCCTGGTTTCCTCCCACACTCCAAAGACATGCTAGTAGGTTAATTGGATCCTGTCTAAATTGGCCCTAGTATGTATGAATGTAGGCTAGTGACTTTAGATTGTACACCCCTTGAGGGGTAGGGATTGATGTGAATGTACAATATATATGTAAAGTGCTGCGTAAATTGACGGTGCTATATAAGTACCTGTAATAGATAATATATATAGTATGTGTGTGTATATATATATATATATATAGTGACAGAGGGAAGTTCTGTCACTGGGAGAATATAGGAAAATGTGACACAGGATTTACATTTAGGGTTATTGTGAAGTTCCAGATTGCTGTTTTTGAGCAGAGAAAGCTGTGGCCTTCTCTGGATTCTGTGATTCTGGGTCAAACTTTCAATCCTGTGTCCAGGTTTTGCCAGATGCTTGCAACCTCTCTGAGTGCACAGGTCTGAGGAAAGTTCAGGGCTGTGGCCAGTTTGGAGACCACTTGCAGTGTGGGAGATGGAAGGTCCCAACCCAAGGTCACGGAACCCCAGCCAGGAGACGGAGAGTCTCAACCAGGGATAAGTGGTGCCCCAACCAGAAGCCAAGAGACAGTGGGTCTCATCGAGGGGTCAGAGGTGCCCCAGCCAGGAGACAGCAGGTCTCAGTTCCAGGAGTCAGGTCGACTCCTATCAGGGTGTCAGGAGAACCCCAATCCATTGGAAAGAGGTGGGCCTTGCAGCAGGGTGCTGCGACTAAAGGCTGGAGAGCCGAGTGTTCCAGGAAAGCTGGACAACATAGTCTAAGAGACTGGTGAGAGGAGCAGCAGTGCTGCCAACAAGTGAGCCAAGTGGCTCGGTATTTTCATTTATGCATGGTGTTGAAGAAACCCGTGTGTGAACAACTTTCTGTGTTTATTTAAATAAAAGTGGACTGCCATGCCCCCCTAAAATACAGTTTCGGACTGGTGCAACTCCCTGTAAATGCACCTACCACTTGAGTTTAATCACCCTAATTCCTATATATATATATATATATATATATATATATATATACAGTTGTGTTCAAAATAATAGTGTGTTGAAAAAAGTGAATCAAAATCCTTCTAATAGCTTTTATTTCCATACACACAAATGCATTGGGAACACTACACATTCTATTCCAAATCAAAACATGAAGAAAGATATATCAAATTTGTGTTGTTCCTTAAAAAAATTGAAGAAAAGTGAATATTAGACTGTTCAAAAAAAATAGCAGTGTTTGTATTCTTCTTTACAAACTCAAACATTCACTATATAAACTGAAAAATGTTTGAAGATTTTGCTTTCCTTTGAATCACTTAATTAATATTTAGTTGTATAAGCACTGTTTCTGAGAACTGCTGTACATCTGTGTTGCATGGAGTCAATCAACATCTGGCACCTGTGAACAGGTATTCCAGCCCAGGATGATTGGACTACATTCCACAGTTCTTCTCTATTTCTTGGTTTTGCCTCAGAAACTGCATTTTTGATGTCACCCCACAAGTTTTCTATTGGATTAAGATCCAGGGAATTGGGCTGGCCACTCCATAACGTCAATCTTGTTGGTCTGTAACCAAGATGTTGGACGTTTACTGGTGTGTTTGGGGTCTTTGTCTTGTTGGAACACCCATTTCAAGGGCATTTCCTCTTCAGCATAAGGCAGCATGACCTCTTCAAGTATTCTGATGTATTCAAACTGATCCATGATGCCTGGTATGCAATAAATAGGCCCAACACTGTAGTATGAGAAACATCCCCATATCATGATGCTTGCACAACCATGCTTCATTGTCTTCACAGTGTACTGTGGATTGAATTCAGTGTTTGGGGGTCGTCTGACAAACTGTCTCCGGCCACTAGACCCAAAAAGAACAATCTTACTTTCATCAGTCCACAAAATGTTGCGCCATTTCTCTTTAGGCCAGTCAATGTGCTCTTTGGCAAATTGTAACCTCTTCAGCACGTCTTTTTTTCAACAGTGGGACTTTGCGGGGGCTTCTTGCAGATAGCTTGGCTTCACATAGGCGTCTTCTAATTGTAACAGTACTCACAGGTAACGTTACACCTTCTTTGATCTTCCTGGAGCTGATTGTTGGCTGAGTCCTTGCCATTTTGGCTATTCTTCTATCCATTCGAATGGTAGTTTTTCGCTTTCTTCAACGTCTTTCAGGTTTTGGTTGCCATTTTAAAGCATTTGCGATCATTTTAGCCGAGCAGCCTATCATTTTCTGCACTTCTTTATGTGTTTTCCCCTCTCCAATCAACTTTTTAATCAAGGTACGCTGTTCTTCTGAACAATGTCTGGAACGACCCATTTTCCTCAGACTTTCAGAGAGAAAAATGCACTGTAACCAGCATGTACAACATTTGCTGCCTTCCTTCCTTAAATAAGGACAATAATTGCCACATGTTTTTCAAAGAATGAATGACCTCACTAATAGAACTCCACACTGCTATTATTTTGAACATGCCCCTTTCAATTAGTGATTCAATTACACAGAATCAGCAGCATGCATGTCATGACTGTTGGGTCTGTTGGATTTCTATTACTCTACTACACCTGCTAGTAAATTATTTGCCATGTAGAAATATCATTTCTACCAAAAACAGTGATTGATCAGGTTAGTAATGCCTGACTGCTATTATTTTTAACACAACTGTATATATGTTATGAAAGGAATGCTGGTCTTCCCTTTATGACATAACTCTTATTTATTAAATTTAACAAAATAAGGCAGCTCTAAGGATATCAACAGTATGTCATCAATCTTGTCAACACATTTTTTTATACCCGCAAAATAAAGCTTTTACAAAGACATCTGATATTTGCTGAATATTTCTATATTGTGGTTGAGTAACTGTTGAAGTTCATGTATTTTCACTAATTTACCGTACAAAACGTATAAAGATGTTCACTATGCTGTACTGCTTTTTCCTTTTCCTCCCAAGTTTGAAATGTTAATTTGGTATGACTGTACCATAGTCTGTATCCTTGTATGTATGTAGGCTGATCTGCCGATAAGGAATTCAGAGAATTTTGCCCGCTGGATTACAATCGCCTAATTAACACAAATATTTGTTTGTTCAGGGAAGGAATTTCTTTTCCATATGTATTGAATGAACTGTGTTGGTGTGACTAGCTGCACTTCCTTACACAAAAGGCAATTATTCATAATTCTTCCTAGAGGTTTTACAAGTGAGCTGGTAGCATTAGGTTCACTTGTTTTTGCAAGTGATATCTGTATTAAGACTCCTTACAGCAGCGCCACATTTAAAGGGCAACCACAGCTATATTTTAAAAACCAAAAATCAGTCATTTAAATCAGTAGTATAAATGATATATACCGTATTTTTCGCTCCATAAGACGCACTTTTTTCCCAAAAAAATATGGGGGAAAACGTCTGTGCGTTCTATGGAGTGAATACTGACCAGTCCTCCACTTGTCACCGCCACCATGTTAGGGCCAGCGGTTGTCCCATCGCACAGCAGCCTGTCCCCTCCCACTGCAGGCTGTCACCGCAGTTCACCCTACCTTATCCCCTCTCTCAGTGGGCTGTCCCCGCGGCTCTTCATAGCAGGCAGTCCCCTTGCCGAACCCAGCCAGCTTGCTCTGCGGTCCGGTCCACCCTGCAGGCGTGGCCTGTCCTCGGAGCTCCTCCCCAATCCTGGCATTTCTATGTACTGCGCTCCCTGCTCTGCAGTCCGGTCTGGTCTGCAGGTGTGGCCTGTCCTTACAGCTCCTCCCCGCTCCTGGCATGTGTCCATAGTGCATTCCCTGCTCTGCAGTCCGGTCCTATCTGCTGGTGTGGCCTGTCCTTGGAGCTCAGTGCGCCCCCTGCCTTCTGTAAGTTAAAAATGACTGATGCTGGGAGTTGTAGTCCTTTTCCTTGATGTATGGTGTCAGATCATTTGATATTCTGGGTGGAGGGGCCCTGTTGGGACTTTATATGATGTAGTATGTCCGCAGTCTCTGGTCATCTCCTGTACTGTGTCCGCAGTCTCTGGTCATCTCCTGTACTGTGTCCGCAGTCTCTAGTCATCTCCTGTACTATGTCCGCAGTCTCTGGTCATCTCCTGTACTGTGTCCACAGTCTCTAGTCATCTCCTATACTATGTCCTCAGTCTCTGGTCATCCCATGTACTGTGTCCGCAGTCTCTGGTCATCCCCTGTACTGTGTCCGCAGTCTCTGGTCATCTCCTGTACGGTGTCCACAGTCTCTGGTCATCTCCTGTACTGTGTCCGCAGTCTCTGGTCATCTCCTGTACTGTGTCCGCAGTCTCTGGTCATCTCCTGTACTATGTCCTCAGTCTCTGGTCATCCCCTGTACTGTGTCCACAGTCTCTGGTCATCTCCTGTACCGTGTCCGCAGTCTCTCGTCATCTCATGTAGTATGTCTGTAGTCTCTGGTCATCTCCTGTACTGTCTGCAGTCTCTGGTCATCTCCTGTAGTATGTCTGCAGTCTCTGGTCATCTCCTGTACTGTCCGCAGTCTCTGGTCATCTCCTGTACTGTGTCCGCAGTCTCTGGTCATCTCCTGTACTATGTCCGCAGCCTCTGGTCATTTCCTGTACTATGTCCGCAGTCTCTGGTCATCTCCTGTACTACTGTACTATGTCTGCAGTCTCTGGTCATTTCCTGTACTATGTCTGCAGTTCATTGGTTCAGAATATTTTTTTTCTATTCTTCCACCTTTAAAACCTAGGTGCGTCTTATGGTCATGTGCGTCTTATGGAGCGAAAAATACGGTACTTTTTTTTTCTACAAAAGCTAAGATTTTCTGGGATGGGTTGTCTAACATGGCTGCCAAAATGGTGGCTGCTTATATAATCAATAAGTGATCATCCAGGCTCCTGTAGAGCAAAAAATAGACAGGGATAACTGTCCTGTGCTCTACAAGAGCAAGCATTCATTACCTTGATAAAAAAGAAGAAATATCAGTGCACTAATGTATATTGTAACCAGTCCATAAGTCCCAATTAAGTCTGTAGCTGGTAAATGCTTTAGGTGGCAGCCATCCCAGAGTGAGCAAACTCTGTATGCATAATAAGGAACGAGAGAGAGGCGCCTTCTGAGTGCAGTATAAAAGGTATGTAATAAGCTACAAATGGTAAAACTTTCAATGTGGAAGTGATAAAATAGCCCATCAGTATAGCCGTGATCCTAGTCAGGAGTCCCTACTGTAGGCCTGTAGAAGGAGCAGTTAGCTCCGAGCTCTTAGCCTTGCTTCTTCCCTTCTGTCGGCCGAACTCTTCCTGTGTGACGTCACTTCTGCCTGGCTTGTGGTTCACGGTGGTTACAGGTACTACTGGTTCCGGTCGCCCAACTGCTCTTACATTAAAATTGAAGCTTAGGTATGGCAATTTTAATATTGTTACATGTAAGTATGTATGTGCCTTGCAACACAATATAACAATAAAAAAGACACAAAACATGCGCTATATAAAATAAACACCACTGTGAAAGTCCGTGACATGGTGTATGACAAATAAAGATTATTCCATTCTGCAGCAGTTCTAAATAAATACTTCTCAAAAAAGTTCAGTCTCTCCACCATGGAGAGAGAAGCTGGAGTAGGCACCACTACAACAGTGATCTCCATAGCTTCTGGGTCCCGTGCTGAGAAGCTTCCCTTGCTGTTTCCCGAACACAGGTTGCTTGCTCGGCACGGCGCCATTCAGGGAACACCTTGCACGTTCTCATAGAATGCAAAGTGTTCTCTGATTGGACAAGGTGGAGAGGCAGGGTGGTAACATCACAATCTTCACCTCATCCATTCACAGAACAGTTTGCATTCATTGAGAAAATGCAATGTGTTCTCTGAATGGCTTCTGTGCAAAGTGAAAATGCAGAATATCTGAAAACGAACATGGACTGAACAAATTTACTAAGGAGAAAACATAAACTAGCGATTTCTTCGCACCTTAACTGGATGAACACAGCCAACTGGTGACCTTTATATACATTAAACTAAATGCATGTATAAAATCATTATGAAGACATTGTATTGCCCTCTGCATGATTTGGAAGTTCAGCTGCTGAATCTTTGTATTGGGCAGATTTGAATCATCTCAATGCATGCCAAAGGTTGGGGAAGCCGTTATGTTTGAGTAAGAGCTCTGTTACTCTTTGGAGAACATTGCTTGTTAAAATAGGAACCTTTTTATAAATAAGGTACCCTTTTTGTTTAAGTGTATGCCTGGGAAAATAATATTCACTATGGTTCCGTAGTACATGCACATTTCCCACGTCATGTACTGTAGATCCTTCAACGTCTTCCTCATTACAAGGCTCATTGAAGACATAAAGGTCAGAAATTAACCACAGCATGCAGGAGGGACATAGGCGTACAACACTAGTGAAAGTATTGAATGGTATGTACAGTCAACTGCATAGTCTCGGCATGGTTCTATGCCGAGGTGAAGGAACTCCTGTGTGCATAGGCATGGGTTATGTCATCCCGACCCGCCAGTCTAAAGGTCAAAGACACATGGATAAAAGCTGGAGAAGATGGCAGCACTAGAGAGGATTGCCTTCCAGGTAAGTTTGCCATCATGTTCTTATATGCTGTGTATACCTCACCATTTTGGCAACAAGTCACAGTTCCGTGTGTATCTCTGATATCCAGGCCACTCCTGGGGTTGCCCTTTTGTCGATGATCCCTAGGCCCATCTAAAAAATGAATAAGCTGTGTATACTACCACTGGCAAACAGCTCCTGAGGGCCCAGTGGTATGTACTCATTAATGTACCGTATTTTCCGGCGTATAAGTATAAGACGACCCCCCTACTTTTCCTGCTAAAATTTAGTGTTTGGGCTATACTCGCCGTATAAGACTACCCCTCTTCCAGTGCACACCAGTGGGAGGAATAGTGCCCCATCATCGGTGTGTCAGTGGGAGGAATAGTGCCCCATCATCGGTGTCAGTGGGAGGAATAGTGCCCCATCATTGGTGTCAGTGGGAGGAATAGTGCCCCATCATTGTATTAGTGGGAGGAATAGTGCCCCATCATTGGTATTAGTGGGAGGAATAGTGCCCCATCATTGGTATTAGTGGAAGAGAATAGTGCCCCATCATTGGTATTGTGTGTCAGTGGGTGTCAGAGGACGAATAGCACCCCATCATTGGTGTCAGTGGGGAGGAATAGCACCCCATCATTGGTGTCAGTGGGAGGAATAGCACCCCATCATTGGTGTCAGTGAGAGAAATCGTGCCCCATCATTGGTATCAGTGGCAGGAATAGTGCCCTATCATTAGTATCAGTGGGAGGAATAGTGCCCCATCTTTGGTGTCAGTGGGGGGAATCGTGCCCCATCATTAGTATCAGTGGGAGGAATAGTGCCCCATCTTTGGTGTCAGTGGGAGGAATAGTGCCCCAACATTGGTGTCAGTGGGAGGAATAGTGTCCCATCATTGGTGTCAGTGGGAGGAATAGTGCCCCATCTTTGGTGTCAGTGGGGGGAATCGTGCCCCATCATTAGTATCAGTGGGAGGAATAGTGCCCCAGCTTTGGTGTCAGTGGGAGGAATAGTGCCCCAACATTGGTGTCAGTGGGAGGAATAGTGTCCCATCATTGGTGTCAGTGGGGGGTGGAATAGTGCCCCATCATTGGTGTCAGTGGGGGGTGGAATAGTGCCCCATCATTGGTGTCAGTGGGGGGGGGAGGAATAGTGCCCCATTGTTGGTGTCAGTGGGGGGGAGGAATAGTGCCCCATCGTTGGTGTCAGTGGGAGGAATAATGCCCCATCATTAGTATCAGTGACACCAATGATGGGGCACTATTCCTCCCACTGACACCAATTACACTTGCTGACCGATGTTCTAGTATGGTGCTGCTGCAGCCAGCATATGTGGTTGCAGCAGCACCTCTACACTGCACACTTACCGGCCGCTCCTTCACTCGATTTTTGCGGGGCCGCTCGGCTCCGCCCCCTCGCCAGTGATTGGCCGCCTGTTTTCCTTTCCTGAGCTACAGTTCTGGTGGCCAATTACTGCTGAGGAGGTGGAGCTGAGCAGCCGCGCTAACATCCAGTGGCCAAACTGAAGGAGCAGCCGCGCTTCCTGGATCGTCGTGGGGGACCGGATCCAGGTAAGAAACAGCAGCCCCTGCCCACCCCTGTACTTAGTGTCCCTTCCATTGGAAGGGGGGGGGGGCGGTGGCGGCACCGCTCCGCCCCCCTAAAAAGTGTCAGTATGCCGTATACCGGCGTATAAGAAGACCCCCGACTTTTGAGAGGATTTTCAAGGGGTAAAAAGTCGTCTTATACGCCGGAAAATACGGTACATCTTTTTCAGTTAATTTATTTATTTCAGGTACATTTGTAGCCCTGTCAATTTACACAGCACTTTCCAAATATATTGTACATTCACATCAGTCCCTAACCCTCAAGGGGCATACAATCTAAGGTCCCTAACTTACATTCATACATACACATACTAGGGCCAATTTAGAGAGGATCCACTTAACCTACCAGCATGTCTTTGGAGGGTGGGAGGAAACCAGAGTACCTGGAGGAAACCCACACAGGCACAGAGAGAACCAATGACCCTAGTACTGCCGGCAGAAGTGCTAACCATTTAGCCACTGTACTTCCCTTTTACCTTGAATGGGCCCTTAACAAGCCTCAATACACAAGACCGCATACCAGCACTTCTTTTGTGCCAAGCATTACACTACAGTGCACAGTGCATTCCCTTCTGTGCATTGTGGAGTGCTGAAGGGTGGGTGCTTTTGCTTATACTGTATTGGAGTAAAGTGTTACTAAACCAACAACAGTATAATCAGTCTGTATATGCAGTAAAATATTCTTGTTTCCTCACTGTAGAACCTAAGGGGTTAATCATCTGCATTGTGTAAAAAGGATGTTTGATCCTGTCTTCTCTGATCCTCCCCTTCATCCGCAGTCCCCAATCCATCTGCTGATAGAACAGAGCCTTGGGGGCAAGCCACATATGCTCAGTTTGGTGTGTATTGCTAGAGAGTTTTTTTCTTGGGAGAGTGTATGTGATCAGCACAGGGCCAATCAGCACTGTCCAGAAAGAGGGTCAGGGGTTCTGCAGCCTCATAGGACAGGGGTGGGCACTGTGGCCCTCCAGCTGTTGGTGAACTACAATTCCCATCATGCCTCTGCCTTTGGGAGTCATGCTTGTAACTGTCAGTTTTGCAATGCCTCATGGGACTTGTAGTTCTACAACAGCTGGAGGGCCACAGTTGCCCACCCCTGTCATGGAACAATCAGAGGAGAATGAAATTTCCTCCTACAAGCTTTAACCAGTGCTTTGCTGGACACTGATAGAACTCACAAGACTGCTCTAACTGCTAAGGAGAAAAGGTATTTAGAAGTTTATATTTACTACAGTAATTGCATTTTCATGTTCTGTGTACTGTGGGAAACCAGATATAGTGAATGCAGGGTCCTGGGTTTAATAACACTTTAAGAAAGAAAAGCATTGTACCACAACATAAATATGAAGTGAATATGTGTGGTAACATGCAGTAAATTGCACAGTACTGCAAGTGCATAGGTGTGAATCCAGCC